TCATGTTCTCAATCTTAATTAGTGTGAGATTCTTTAACTCATTGTCCGATAGCTGCAATTCTGTTAAAAAAATTTCATTAGTTTTCTATATAATTACATATGTATGATGCAACTGCTGTCGTGATGTTGAAATACATTGAACATAAATCAAACAGTTGATGTTGCGGCTGCGTGAAATTAAATGGAACCAAAGAAACTGTTGCAGCTGCAAGTTAAGAAAATAACTTACATACATGACAAATGACAAATATGAAAATGTTTCTTACGTAAATGGACATACCTTATTAAACATATTAAATAAGGGACATATGGATGAAGAATAATTATATTTTAAAGTAAGTTCATATCATTATATTTTGTAATAAAAAAAGATACAGCTTGCATTCGGAAAATAATATTTGTTGACTTAAAAAAGTTTAATAAAGTGTTCATACCTCTTCTATTTGTTTTTTGCCTTTGTTGGTAGAGGATACCATCAGATAACGTCCTCCAAGTTTTTTCCCAAACATGTCGTGGTCTATTGACAGTACCGGATAGTAACATAGTGACAAATAACTTTCGTAAAAAATGTCCGGAACCCCAATTCTTTGCTTCGTCGATGGCTGCAACATATTCCTTGTCATCGTTAAGAAAGCCCATTTCGAAGCATGCATCCCTAAAAGAATCCTGAACTTTTCCACCCACAAATTTTATATCCTCATAGCAAGTTGGACCTTTGACGACTGTTAGCACCATTCTCAATAAATATAACTCACCCGTACTTGGAGGGACCCAAATAAGTCTGCCAATTGTATTTCCTCTTTTATGCAGTCTCCATTGACGGTATCTTTTATCATAAACAAATAATTGTTAATACAACATTCACGGTTCCAAGATTTTGAAGTAAAATACTGAAGTCAACAGAATACCAAGTGATTATTTTTGTGAACCATTTTAATTATTAATAATAATAATTAATAATAATAATAGCGTTAAATAGTGTTAAGTGTTATTTCAAAATTTAATTAAAAATATTATAATTATGGACAATCAAGTACCAATAAGAAAAGGTAACTTTCCAGATTCTAACCATTCTGCCAATTAATCTTGAATTGAAAAGAAAAGCAATGGTCAGAAAAAATCATTATAATTTCACTTTGGAAACCGAAAATGAAGTGCATCATGAATAGTAACTACTCAAGCATGCATTTGATAGGCTTGAAATGTTTTTTGATATAGCCATACCATATTGATTGTATCTCACTCCAAAATCAAATTAAACGTATCATTTTAACTGATATTGGAAATGTGCGGTTACAATTTTGTCAGTTGGCGGGTTGTTGAATCTTCGAGATAAAATGGGCGGAGCCATTGGCGGGTTGTTGAATCTTCGAGATGAAGCGGAAATGTGCGGTTACAAAGATGTAGAGGTTATGTGGAACATGCTAAGCTTAAGCCTCACACATGATTCAACTAAAAGCCTCACACAGACTCGAATTAAAGGGTGGTTTTAAAATCTTGGATTTAAAATCTCCTTGCTTGATCTTTAATTTTGATGCGAAGTGGATAATTGGAAAGGGTGGTTTTGGAGTTGTTTATAAAGGGTTTCTCAGGAATGGAATGAATGTGGCAGTGAAAAGAAGTGAGCCAGGATCAGGTTAAGGACTTCCTGAATTTCAAGCTGAGATAATGGTTTTGTCCAACATTCAAATTTTCTACTTTTAATATTGTATGCCACTGAGTGTTAATTTTGGTTGGTGTGGTGAATATTTAAAAAACGACAGTGCAAGACATTTGGACCAGTTTGTTGGACTGGTAGCCAGAGTCTACTCGCATCGAATAGAAGTGGTATGGTTTTCCTGTATATGGAGCATTTCTAAGGCAAGAAATGGAAAAAAATTTAATTGGCGTAGGCTTCGAGCAGTGCTGGCTCGGGAAGTGCAGCATTGGTGGAAATGTTGCAAAATTTCAGAAACATTTAATGTGGATGAAACTAAATGGTAGTAGGAATGATATATTAAAAGAAAGACACAAAGCTCAAACAATTATGCGAAAGCATGTTTACATGAACATGTTTCTATTGTACCCAAACAACGAAAGTAATAGGAAACAATGCAATTGTTTTAAAACATAAAATAAACCAAAACTAATACTTAGCATAAGAAAATTAAGTTGTTTCCATGATAAACTAAAGCTTAATAAACAGCAGTTTGTGTTCCATCTTTATATCAATTTTTCCTCCTTGATTGGTTTTGTCATCTTTGTTGAGGAAAGTTGAACACTTTCAACATCTTCTGCTACATCAGTTATTCTTCTCTTCGACGGTGTCAGCCCCGAATTCGCAACAGAAGGATCATAATCTGCAGATGCGGACAATGGTTCCTGCAATATTTTAAGAAACATTGATTAATGATAATATGCAGCAAGCAATGTTGTACTTAATGTAATCAAAGACAAAAGTATATACTTACAGAAAAACTCCTCAAATCCTCTTGCGAGGAAGGCTCCGATACGCCAAGCTTCGATGCTACCTGTCAAGACATAATTGAATCAGAAAAACGATTTATTATACCAAAGTTGTTTCAGCGGAATAATTAATTTAGTCTTCAAACAAAACGTACCTCTTCAGATTTGAAATTGTCCCGTATTTTCTTACGTGTTTCTTCATCGTCTTTGAACCCAATAACTGAGAGTCTTCCAAACTTTGGCTGAAAAACAGCTCTAATAGCTAATTCCTTTTTCAATAAAGCATCAAGTTCATATGGGAATTTCCAAGGATTGTCTTCACCTTCCTAAATTAATTCATCCAAAGGAAATATAAAATTAATAGCTAAAATTGATTAACAGTTGGAGAAATGATAAAATTATAACTAAAATAATAAAAGTGCAACATGTAATGGACAACGTCAAATTGTAACTAAAATCCATGGTTGGAGAAATGATTCAAATGAATAATACCTCTATCAATTCAGTCTTAATTTGCAAAGCAGACTTTCCGATTAATTTCACACAGTCGTTGTCCCAAAAGATTAATCGGGCCTTGAATTTCCCATAAATTCCCATAATCTCAAGCTTGTATCTATAAGAATTAAAGTAGGTAATTAAACAATATTACATAGTGAACAACAATGGACTACATTATTCAAACAGGTACAGAACATAATGTTTTAACTCACACCTCGGTACAGTTTCAGTCGTTATATGATTCGCATAACACTTCAAATTTCCTTCCTTCAGAGACACACTTTTAGTACAGACACCACAACCATCGTAATACCACCCCGCCTGGCCAACCTCAAATTTGTCCAATGTCGCAACGGTCACACAAGTTGTCTCCTATGGAATAAAGAATGTGAAATAAATATATCATATACAAAGTTATGAGATAAATAAAATATTTACTTAATTTAAGCTTACATATTGAAGACTTGAGATTTCAGTCAGACTAAGAATTTCTGCCTTCCATATAAACTTATCAAATTCAGTATACTGTGAGTTTTGGGTGGTTTCAACTTGCAAGGTAGACTGCGATAACTTTGGCAAATCATTTTGAAGACTGTGATGTATAACACAGTGAAAAAAACAATACATAAAATGTTATTAGCGGTTATAATGGATATCAAAATTGTATACAGGAACAGGATTTGACCAACAAAAAATTAACTACCTTTCTTTCAGCTTACTAATTTCAACGATGCTAACATCATTGATAGTTAACTTAGTGCCATTCCATGTGTTGGATACATTCAAAGGGAAACCACCTTTGATATATAAAAAAACAATACCGTAAGCACGTGATCAATCCACATATTACTTCAATGGAGATGATTTAATTTGTAATCAATTTAATACATCAGTAAATAAATATTATGCAGCCCAATTAACACTACCTTGGGCGCCCTTTATCTTTGCATTCTGCAATAGAACAACAACATTTCCTTCTTCATTATGAGTCTTGTAATATTCATAAAACTGCAAAGCCAGCTGTCCCCATAAAGTACACTGAACGAAAGATTTGCTGCCAGGAAAACAGATCCAATAAAAATGAAGTCAAAGAATAAAATTGCACAGTATGTAAAAAAAACTATAACCATACCTCATATCGGTTATTATAAACACAGCCTTGCTTTTGTTATTATCAGCATTGATTTGAGTTTGCACAATCTCAGTAACTCCTCCAACAACATCTAAGCAAGATCAAATTTCAAAAGTTATCAAACATCCAAGGAATCAACGAAATAAGGTAATATAAAGATATGAATAAAGTTAGTTTTATGCAATGTTATGATGCATGAAATGTTTTTTGTGGTGATGCTCTCAAAATAAACGAGAATAATATATCGTTTCATATGCATATGTTATGATATTTTGTATATGATATATGGATGCAATATATCATTGGAGCGTATCGGTAGCTTCGTGTAATAATGTTTGGCTGAGGAAAATAAATCTCTGACTGTTGCTGGGGATGAAGACAATAGTTCTTCAATTTTTGTTTAGAACATCCTTACTGTGGATTTCTGCTTTCTGTTTGAGGACATCTCACTAGGGATGTTTGACTTCTGCTTGGGGATGGAAGTTGTCATACCCCAAATTTCCCGCCCTTTATTTCTACAGTAAAAAATATTTTAAACATTGTTTTTATAATATTATTTTATTTTTATAGATATTCGTGCTCAAGTCCAGTTAAAATTATAATAATTTATTTCAAATTATTTGTATTTTTAAAATAACAAATATTTACACACCTTTCATATACTTTCAATTGATTTTATTTACAAATGAGTAACATAGAACAATTGATAAAGAATGAAGCTTGCAAATATGAGGTCGCGGGTTCGAATCTTGTGTGTGTCATTTTTGATATTATATTATAATTTATTTGCTCATATTTTATTCTAAAATTATTACGTTATTTTTATATATTATTTTTGTAATGAGATCTATTATGTAAAATTATTTACCTGTTCAAACCTGCAACAACTCCAAACTTCACACCATCAAATCCAAATATCAAATTTCTATTCAGAATTCTGAAAACAACAGTGAAGTAAATCAAAAGAAAAAGAAGAATCAGAATCTCGAATTTGTCGACAAACTCGATCAAAGCACACCCGCACAACCCAACCGGTCGGCGCTAGCCAAACCGGCGACCAACTCATGCGCTCTATCCAGATCCAACGCCTCTGACGACCAACAAAAAGCACACCGCCGAAAGCCAATACGAAGGATCGCCACCGCTGATCCGCGTCCCGCCGCCACATAAACCCGTTGGGTTGCCTCGCCGTTGTCGATTATTTTTTCTTTCATGTTAATTGACCTCATTTTTATATTGTTGCTTGTTGTTTAGATAATATGTCTGTATTGATTTACAAAGAGAAATAAAAGAATTTTGTTTGGAAAATAATGAAAGAAGAATGGAAGTTTGAAGTGGAGAAGAAATAGACTGAAAGTGATGAGGGATTGGGACATGTGATTTGGATTTTCGTTACTATCCATAATAAATGCTCTTTATTCCAATTTTGATTATTTCTTTTAATTCTGAAATTTTCTTTGTTTTTTATATGTCATTATTAAAATGTTGATTTGAAAAACTGTGCGTCATTGTTGTGTTACGTCGACATGATTTGCTTCACATGCTATATATAGTCATTTTGTTTTGTTTGGAATTTACAGAGATATGATATTATCACCTTGGCCTAGAAACCATTTTAATTAATTGGTGTCTTACCACATTCCATGCATTATTTTATTTTAATAAAATTTTGACATTTTAAAATTATTAGATGTTTTTCTTTTCTAGATTTTTTCTACTTTATAACTAATAATAGCTAAAATAAAAGAATATGTTACAGTTGCAATGTTTTTTTATATTTAGCTTTATTTAAATTTGTTTATTCAATAAATAATAATAAAAACTATGTCTTTTACTTTTATTTAGATTAATTATATATATATATATATATATATATATATATATATATATATATATATATATATATATATATATATATATATATATATATATATATATATATAGTCTATTTTTGTTACACAAATTGTGATGAATAATGGTTTTGATTACATGGACTTTGGACGGTTGAATTACATCTATCCACACTCCCTTCTAATATTCACGCCCCTAAGCTTGTTTATCTTGTATAAATTAGTTTAGAGTATTTCTTTAGTATAATTGAGTTAGTTTTTTAGGTTACTTAAGACTTTATTGGCCTAATTTAGTCAAACAGTTTTCTAATTAATCGTATTTAAATTATTTGCTTTTGGTTAAAGGTATAAAAACACTAAAAAAAATGTATATTTAGTTTTTTAGATAAAAATAAATTAGCTTTATACATTTACCAAACATCTTTTTTTAATTTAATTAACTCAAATATTTTTACAAATAATAAGATGTTCATCTTCGAGTAATTAAATTGGTCGACACATCGTCTATCGGTTTATTATTTAAAATCAAACAATTAATATCCACGCAACTCACCAAATTCACCATCCACGGATGACACGTGGTCAATACTTGACCACGTGATGAGGAGACTATACCAGACTTCCTCCGCTCTGTGTCATACCACATACTTTAATCAAATCGAAATTCAAAATAGCTAACTAACAACATCAAATCATTTTTCTACTAACATAATAAAACTTCCATATTATTTTTAAAAAAAGGATTAAATATAATTGTCTTCGAATCCAGCTACGAATTGCGTCTACGATCACTCAACTTACAACCTAGACAAGGTTCAATGATAAATTCGAAATCAATTCTACACAATCTTATAAAAAACACCAACCAAACTGCAAACTACGAATTGGAACTCTGATTCCTCCTAAGAGGATACGTAGGCATATGACTAAAATCGTGGCGATTTCCCCTAATAAAACATTAAAACCTTATTTTCTAAAAATTGCGCTTCCAACCCTAGTATCCTTGTGAATAAGGTAGATGAGGGGTGCCTAACACCTTTCCTTCGTCTAAAACTGAGTCAAAAAAATCTAGGATCTCTGACCTTTTAGGGTTAACCCTTATATTTCGTTCCTTAGGATAAAAAATAAGGGTGACGACTCTTATTTTAAAACCAGTTACAATAGAAGCATTCAAGGAGAGTCGACCATTCATTGTTTTTTCAAGGATTTAATTCTTATATACCCTAATTGGGGATGAATAATCCTCCGATATACTATTTGACCAGGTTTCAGATATGAGTATTAGCTCTTATAGGGAGAGAAACATTGGATGACATCTGACCGGAAGAAAGAATCTTGTCGGGGAATTGCAATATCGGAGAAATAAAGTCTGTTGGGGAGATAAACCCTGTAGACTGTGTTGAGGAAATAATTTTTGATGGGGATTGAAAATTCATAGGTTGCGCCGAGCAAGTTTCCAATATATGTTGGGGAAATGATCGAACTTCCTTATCTACTAGGGGACCTATTGGGGAAGATGAACTGTCGAAAAATGCCCCAATTTCTTTCTGAGGGCATATTAGATTTGCTAGGGAATATATCTCTGTTGAGGATGAGCTTGTGAAGATAGCTCCGTAGAGATAGTTCCATGGAGATTGCTCTATGGGAATTTATGGATAACTTTGAACATTATCCCAACTTCTAAAGTCTTTAGCAAATGCTGATCAGAGTGATAAATCTTCTATTAACAAATGGGACATAGTCGTGCGCTTTAATCCCTAACTTTTTTCTGGACCTCCTTTTTAGATTTTCAGTCCACCAGGATATCTTTTTTTTCCCAAGCCGTCCTTTCAGGTTTTCAACTTGCTGGATGTACAATTTTTTTATATATATCCCTAATTTTTTCCCGAACCCTTTTGGTTCGCTGAAATTCCCTTATTTTTTCCTAGGCCAGTCAACCTAGCGGGTCTCTTTTATGCGTAGTATTTTTTAACTATGTTTGTGTTCAAATGGTGTGGAAGATCTTCACCGTCCATGGTGGTAAGTATCATAGCACTGCCAGAAAATATCTTCTTAATCACAAATGGCCCTTCGTATGTGGGAGTCCATTTGTCCCTAGGATCACCTTATCGTAAGATAATACACCTTATTACCAAATCACCAGCCTAGTACACCTGATGTTTGACTTTCTTATTGGAGGCCTTGATCATGCGCTTCTGATACATCTGACCATGACAAACAGCCGCAAGCCTTTTCTCATTAATTAAATTCATCTAGTGAAGTTTAGTCTGAATCCACTCGTCTTCGTCCAAACCTGCGTCTTTCATGATCCTCAGGGAAGGAATCTAGACTTCGACAGGTAAGACAGCCTCCATACCGTAGACGAGAGAGAACGGGGTTTCCCCAATTGATGTACATGCTGAAGTGTGATAACCATGAAGAGCAAATGGTAACATCTCGTGCCAATCTTTTTACGTCACAGTCATCTTCTGCAAGATCTTCTTGATGTTCTTATTAGCGGCTTCCATTGTGCCATTCATATTTGGTCGATATAGAGGATAATTGTGGTGCTTAATCTTGAAGTACGTGCAAAGTTCCATGATCATAGTATTGTTCAGGTTGGTACCATTGCCCGTGATGATCCTTTTAGGTATGCCATACCGACAAATGAGGTTATGCTTAATGAACTGAGCCACAACATTATTGGTTGAAGGCAAACGAGGTTGCTTCTACCCACTTCGTGAAGTAATCAATAGCGACCAGGATGAAACGATGGCCATTAGACGCAATAGGCTTTATCTCTTAAATCATATTAATTCCCCACATTGCAAACGGCCAAGGAGCAGTCAAGACATTCAGAGGAACCAGAGGCACATGTACTTTGTCAACATAAATCTGCCATTTGTGAAAAGTTCTAGAATGACGATGGCAATCAGTTTCCATGGTCGACCAATAATAACCCGCTCTCAGAGTTTTCTTAGCCATTGTATGCCCACTGGAGTGAGTACCAAAGACTCCTTCATGCATATCTTATATAATCTTCTCAGCTTCCTTCTTGTTTACACAACGAAGCAGAGTCGAATCGTGATTGCGCTTATATAAAATTCTGTTACTCAGAAAGAATTTGGCACAGAACCTCCATAGAAATTTCTTATCATTAATAGATGCCCCTTCAGGATATTCTTGAGTCTCGAAGTATATTTTAACTTCGTGGTACCAAGGTGTTGTACCCCAAAATTTCCCTCTCATTTCTCAAGAATTTCCTCACAAGATCTTCTATGGCACAAGTTTGCAGCACTGATACATCAATTTAGGTTTGGAATTGGCACAAGGGAAAAATGGTCAAAATGCAGACTGAAAAGTCAAAATTTGACTTTCGGATCAAAATCAAGTTTCAAGAATCATATTTCATCAAGACATGTTAGAATTTGAAGTTTGTTTCATCAAGAAAATCAAAAGTCAAAGTTACTTTGGAAAAGTCAAAATTCTAAACACTTAGAAATTTTTCTAAGTGTTAAGAAATATGATAAGTTCAGAACTTCTGGCCAGATTTTCATCATGATGGAAGGTGATTCAGGAAGAACTTCTAACATGAGAGTTGTAGATCTCAATGAGATCTAAAACATTGCAGAACAAAACTTCTCCTAGAAATTCTTGGATTTCAAGTTATAAATCTTTGAAGATACGTCTATGAAACTAAAACACTTAGTAAATTCTGAGCATTTCCAAGTCAGAATTCGGTTAGAACTTCTGAGCCAGTTTTCACGTAGGTTCAGTCAGAGTTTTCTAAGATGATTCAAAGAGAGGTTGCAAAGCATGTTACAAGCTTTCTGAAAAGTATGAGAACTCCTTCAGATCATGCTGGGTCAGGGAGATTCAAAGATCAGAAGTTGGACATGTGTTCTTAATCCAAGTTACGTTTATGCTGAACTTCTGATCCAGATTCAAGCTCGTTGCAGAATCTCATGTTGCAGGCTTTCTTTCTTGCTAAATCTCATCATCATTTAATGCCTACACCAACTTTTGAGTCTTTATCCAAAGGATCTTCCCACGTGTGGCATAAAAGTACTACTGTTGTCCTTGAAAAGCAAACTTTTGTACAAAGTTTATCTTGATCCCATGCTTCACTTTGCTTATGAGTGTACTTCTCCCACAAATCATGCTTACAAACTCAGATTAGGTGTGCTTAAAGCTTCTAACCACCTTACCTTACCTTAAAACATATTGGCTAAACTTGCTTAAAAAACAAGTCAGCGAGCCATAACCCATGATGGTTGTACTCTTGATTTCTCCGAGCTTCTAAATGTTTTGCCTATAAACTAAATTTCATTTGCAAACT